AAAGACGTCACGGTCTGAATCTGTCAGCAACGTGCAGACAATCGAGATGTAGACCAGTGCGGAACAAACCATGGTAGCCAGCAGGGGCACCGTCGACAAGGTCCCTCGACCGGGCGGTTGAAAGTCCCTCGGGCTCAGCGATCTCGTCCGCTGGACCTCTGTACTCGAACTTCTTTTCGTAGCTCGACATTGTCTGGAATTTCACGTTCCTCCCGGTTTGGATTATCAACAATCCTTGTTGAGTCACGTCCAAGTTTCAGCTGGCATGACGATGAAGTGAGCCGCACATCGAGGAGATATAAAGATTAGAAGGCGAGACCAGGCGAGGCATTAACAACATTCGCGTTCCTAAGACATTATCTATCAATCCCTCTCTGCCGAAAGAGGAAGGTGGCAAGCCACCATGCAGTAATATGTGTCTCCATTGCAAGAGTGGGATTGGATATGTGGCAACGCTGATGACGGAGGCTGCTGAGGTCCAGAGCTAGTACGAGGTCGGGTCAGGGTGGCTGGGGGCAATCCGACGAGGAGAGGGAGCACCAGAGAGCGGAAACTCTCCGACGCCAAGCCATATGCGCTACTTAGCCACATGAGGCCGCGCTAACCACAATAGGCTCACTAGCCACACTTGACCGCCCCAATTCTACTTCGTAGAATCACATGCTTTGCATGTCTGCCGAACCAATCATCATCTGATTCGCAACCACCGAGCCACCTTCGTCATACCATTCCTCCACCTGCATCCCAGCTCGCCAGGTTGAAACCGGGCAGCAGCAGAGAGCTTCTGCTCCTTTGCTCCGTCCCGTCACGGTCACTTTGTCACTCTGTGCGGATACTTGTCTCTTGACTCCTCAATCCCTTCGAATATCATCATCTCTCCTCCCTTTAGAGCTGCATCGTCCTCTAGGAGACTGGCAGGATGAGTTACGCTGACGTTGCCGCCAAAGGGCCCAAACAGTCCCCAGAAGAGGTCAGTCAACATCCGTCCGTAACCAAATCACAATTCACAAGCTAATCACTTTGTAGGCGTATGTTCCGGCAATACCTCTGAGCATAACCCCAGTCCGCTAATGTGGTAGTCATAGGCGCGCTCCACCAGTTCCTTCCCTCTCGCAGTCCGAGTCTGAAGTTGCGAGCTTGATCGACGTCGACTCGCCGCACGTCAGCTCCGTTAAGTCAGATTTCCAAGAACAAGAGATCAAGACAGAAACACAGGCTGAGCGAATCGAGCATGAACTGGAGGACAAGGCGCGTGCAGAAGTGCAAAACATCTCAGAAGGTGCCGAAAGTGCTAAGAAGAAGGCTGCCAGCAAGGGCAAGCAATTCAAAGACGTGATGAAGAAGGATGGACAGAAATTGAGCGAAAACAGAGACAATCCTGTCGTCATTGGAAATGCCATCATCTGGGGCATTGCTACTCTCGCTATTGGCTATGGAGCCTACCAGAAGCACACTGAGGGCAAATTGGACTGGCAGCTTGCTGGATCTGTGGCCGCTGGTGTTGGCGCTTTCGCTGTTGCCGACTATTTTGGCAGCAAGTAAGATTGACGCCTTCTTTGGTCCTTGCCGTCTGGAAACTGATGAACTTGCTAGGTGGCTCCTCGAGAACAAGTACCCCCCGAAGTAGATATGGCGACTGGCTCAGGTCGAACGACTCCCCCGGCGGCGATTATTGAAATGGAATGACTAGGTTCTGGCGCGGACACTCAACTCGGTTGACAGAGAGGGGCGGCTTCTGGCGTGCAAGCCTTTGGGTGCCAATTTCTTTGCTCTTACAATATGATATCCCCTTTTTGATTTTCTCGATCTGAAATGGTTCCGTCCACAATTTCTCTTGCCTGAGCAACGACCTCCCAATAAGCGATTGCATGCTTCAGATACTCCTCTCCTGCTTGCTCGGTGCCCATGGCTTCACCTGTTGACCGCCATCTCGTCCCTGTCTCCGTTTAGCGAGGGCGACTCTCTGATCTTGGATGCTTGTGACGAATAAAGCGCTGATTGTAATGCAACCATGAAAAGGGTGAAGAGGCGACAAAGGCCGTCTTGAGCATGAGCATCTAGATGAGGTTGGACCGAGGTATCGAAGATTGAATCGTGGGTGGCGGCCGGATAGAGAAAGCTGAGCAACCCATTGAGCAAGTGAAGGACAAGTACCGGATTGCAGAGGACCATGGTGTACAGAAGCGAGGGATTCCCATGGAATATTCTCCAGGCTGAAGGGGGTCCTCTGCGAGAGGGCTGTCTTTTGGCAGATGGGCTGTTCATCCCTGCGGCAGGAGATTCGAGTGCGGTCTTGCGGTTTCGATGGGTTCTACCGCTCGAGAACAGAGATTATCGGTTGCTCTCCGGAATGAGTCTGGCTGGAAGCACAGCAAAGCGGAAGCTCACTGAGTGGGAGGAGTCGATTCCTTGCAGGCTTTGCGATATGACATTGATAACATTGGATTATGCTAATTATCGGCATAGGAAGATAGGGAGAAAGACAAGGACGGATGAAGGCAAGGTGTTGTTGCTACGATTCTTGACGGCAACGACTTCCTCACCACAAGATGATTTGTGTTCAGGTGACACTGGAATCCGTTTGGGAAGTCACAGTGTCGCAGGCATGTCTTTGGGGCATCGCAGCACTGGTGACTGTGAAGAGCATCTCAGCAAGACTGGAATGACGAATATGGGACTCGGCGTGAAATGTGCTCCTAGATTGCTTGCTTGTATCCCAATGTCTACCTATATATGACAGTATAGCGCTTGACAATTTGGGTTTGGTCGTTTGCTGGAGATGAATTTGGCCATGGGCTGAGATTCAGTGCCAGTGCTGTGCGGGAGGAGTTTTGTCCATGCTGAACGAATTGCATGCCACTTAAATTAGCTGCAACATCGTGTCCTCTAGTGCCTTAGGTAATATTCGACTTCGGAGGACGATAATCTGTTGAGGGAAAACAGCCCCAACTCCTATGGAGTAGCACGAGTATCTATTCCTGTGGTGCTCGCCTGTGTCGATAAAGAGCCCAACGACCACATGGAGGACAAGTTTGTGCAGCGAATCCACGACATTGCCACCAGCAGCAGATACTTTTAGCCCTTTGTGCATTGAACACCAAGCGTCTTTTGCCGTCCTAAACAGGAGAAACCGCCTGGTGACTAGCAATCCTCAAGGGTGATTGCTCCCAGCCGGAATGATTGGGGTAATTTAGCTACAACTCACAACTCAGCAGTTGGCCCTGGAAGGACAGGCTGTACTTTTGCCGCGATTCTCCTTCGACAACCTGCATTATTGGTGTCCACTTTCGAGGGCGATCTCTTAGACCTTGCTGCAAAGATCCTGCATGTCCTCTGCCACAATCCACCCCGACGTGTTTACAAGATGGTTAGTCGACCCCCTTCCGAGTGCACTCAAAACATTGTCCTGACATGGTACAGAACGTACTCTTCAATCAAGCCTTGAAGCAGTCGACGGCGATACGGAAAGATCTCGAAACATTCGCACAGGCACCTGCTACCGCATCTCCCGCTTTACAAGGACAGATATCCACCACCCTCACCAGCCTTGCTCGAACGCTAGAAGACTACCAAAATCTGTCCCGAAATGAGTTGAACGATGAGAAGAAAGAGAAGGCTGTTGAGAGGTTGAAGAACTTTCGTGCCGATCTGGCGTCCTACCGCACGCAATTTGATCAGTTAAAGAAGGAGCGCGAGGCCGCCGTCGCAGTCAACAACCGGAATGAACTACTCGGTCGGCGGCCGCACCATGCTGCGACTCCTGAAAACCCATATGCCCATGCCTCGAGTCAGAGTGCGTTTGCTCCTGCCCATCGCAACACACAAGACGGTCTCTCCTTTGGAGCGGGCTCCAGCAATTATACCCGCGAGGAACACGCTCTCCGGGAACAGAACTTCTTCGATACTGCCAATGCGCAGCTTGATGAATTCCTGGACCGAGGTCGAGCAGTTCTAGGTGACTTGGGACATCAGCGCGACATCCTCAAGGGTACCCAGCGGAAGCTCTATAGTGTTGCCAACACTCTCGGTGTCAGTGGTGACACCATTCGAATGGTCGAACGACGAGCTATGCAAGACAAATGGATCTTCTGGGGAGGTGTCGCTGTCTTCTTCTCCTTCTGCTTCTTGGTCATCTACTTTTTGAGATGACCATAAGACTGTGATCATGCCTCCTGCGAGTGCAGATTCCGTCCATCCAACACCCGAAAGGACTTGCCGTGATCAGCCACACGCATCTTCGGTCCAAGCCGTCGCTATGGATGGTGGATGTGGGCCATGAACAGCAAATACCTGAATCGAACTACCCCCATCAAGAACGCAGATAACAAGGCAGGACATATTGTGGCCTGCCCCAAATGCTAAACCCGACCTCGACCCGAGAGGGTGGCGTGAAGATGCCGATGTCTCGTCTTTCGAGTCGAGCTTTGACAAGGATTTTGGGACGATTCATCCATACCTACTAGCATGCCCGGCTTGATCCCTAGGCCCGGCGGTATTTGTTCCACCCGGTCAAATGCGTCTTCACCACCGTGTCATAGTTTATTGACACAGCATCCGCCTAGACTTGACCGATAACACCACCATTGGCATTGAGTGTCAGAATGGCCGAGTCAGGGTCCCGGTCAGATAACGCCCCAAGCTGTGTCGGATCTGGACTCTCAAGCTGTCTCCTGGGGGCCGCGCAGGGGCCGCAAGAGCGGATTCGCGGCCGCTCGTGAACCCTCCCCCGCATTCTCGCAGCAACAATCGTTTCTATCCACTCATGAACCCCAGTATGGCGCGCATCAATTACCTCGGAAGAGAAGATGGTCGTGTCGCAGGCACTAGATCAGGTATTGTATGGAAGGAATTTTTGTTTGCTCCCGCCGCCCCTTTTAAATTGCTATCTTGCTCCCTTCAACAAGAGCTTCCTGTTTCACACTACTCGTGTTAAAGTGCCTGCCCAGAAGCCAACTTTTCTTCGCTGAATTTGCCTTGGAGAAATCACCAAGACCGGCAAGATGGGAGGTGATATGCTGTGGCCGCAGGTTCCTGTGGGCAACAAGGACCACACCGAGGCAGCCGTGGTCATCATCGGATCTGGTATTTCGGGCATGTGCACCGCAATCGATCTGATCAAAAGGAACAATTGCCGGAACTTTATTATCCTAGAGAAAAGCGGTGGGCTTGGTGGCACCTGGCGAGACAACAAGTATCCGGGATGCTGCTGCGACGGTAAGAGAATCCCTCAGTCTGAGGAGAGCGAGTCTGTCTCTAACGCTTTGGGCAGTCTGGTCACATCTGTACAGCTACTCCTTCGAACAGAACCCGGATTGGACCAGAGAGTATCCCGGACAAGAGGAGATCTTGCAGTATCTTATGGGTGTCGCACAAAAGTACGAGCTATACCGTTATGTTCGCTTCAACACCGCTGTCGAGTCCGCGAAGTGGGACGACGCAGAAAAAAAGTGGAAGACAACCGTGTCTGTTCAGGGCGTCAAAGATGCCGAGTTCGGGAGCACATATACCATCACCTCCGACTTCCTGGTTTCTGCAGTCGGACAGTTGAACGTGCCGAGACTGCCGGACATCCCAGGTGTTGACGACTTCCGGGGCAAAATCATGCACAGCGCCCGTTGGGACTGGAGCTATGATTTGCGAGGGAAGAAAGTCGCAGTCATCGGTAATGGGGCCACGGCTGCACAGATTATTCCAGAGATTGCCAAGGAGGTCGGCCATCTCACTGTCCATCAGAGGACACCCAACTGGGTCATTCCTCGCCTAGACTCGCCCATTCCACAGTGGAAGAGGAGTGTTTACAAGTATCTCCCCTTTGTCCGATGGCGGAAGCGAGCCGATATGATGGATTTCCGGGAAGGCTTTCATGCGGCCGTCTTTGACAACGCATCGGCGACAGCACAATTCCTCGAGGCACAAAGCAAAGATCATCTCCACGCCCAACTTCCAGACCGACCCGACTTGTGGGAGAAGCTTCAGCCGAACTACTCAATTGGTTGCAAGCGCGTCATCATCAGCGACGATTACTTCCCGGTGTTCCTTCGTGACAATATCCGATTGGAAACTGGCAAGATCGACAAGATCACCGCCAACGGCATCGTCACCGACGGCCAGGAGGAGGATTACGATCTCATCGTTCTCGCTACAGGGTTCCGCACGGTCGAGTTTATGCATCCCATTGACATCACGGGCAGCGCCGGCCGCACTTTGAGCAGCATCTGGAAGGAGGGTGGACAAGCTCTGTATGGTGTGACCGTTGAGAGTCTCCCCAACTTCGGCATGCTCTACGGGCCAAACACGAACCTGGGACACAACAGCATTATCCTCATGATCGAGACGCAGAGCAAATACATCAACACCCTGATCAAAGAAGTCATTGACGCCCGGAGAAACGGTGGCAGCTTAGTGATCCAGCCTAACCCGACGAAGGTCCAACAGTACAACGAAGAAATTCAATCGGAGCTCGAGAAGAGCAGTTTTGCGGACCCTAACTGCAACAGCTGGTACAAGGTCAAGGAAAGTGGTAAGATTACCAACAACTGGAGTCGCACGGTCGTCGACTATCAAAAGGTAGGATGCTCTTCCAAATGTCCTTTCCCAACGTCCCGATGCTAACGTGTCGATAGCTTCTCAGCAATGTCGACTGGTCGGATTACGATCTTTCTGGAAGGTCAGCAGATAAAGTAGCGAAGCAAAAGCGTACGCACATTGGGCGGGTTGTTGAAGAGTCGCAGGTTAGCTATCAGACCATGGGTCTCACGGCTCTGAGCTTAGCAGCTGTAGGCGTAGGCGTCGCTCTTCGTCACACAGGCAGGCTTCGGCTCAGGTGAAGGTTCATTCGTACCCAGCTTACACAATGGCCAGGAAGGATGGAGTTTGGGGGGCCCGAGACACTGTACAGAGTGGTTTACCGTGACATCTTCTGCTGCAATATGATGGTTTCGCACTCCTGTTATTTTCCGCCCCTAGTCTTTTGTGTGGTCTACTCAAGGAAAAATGGGCGTGGGGCACATAGTGATTGGCAAACCGAAATTTCGACATCCAGCGTGGGATGGGTCTTTTCATCGATCTCAGGAGTATCCGGATTCCACGTCCCTCGCCCCTTGCCCTTTGCAGTCAAGCCATGTGGTGCCTAGCTAGGGGCTGCTAGGGGGAAGACTGGGCGCCGTCCTATAGGCGAGCCCCCCAACCAGCGAGCTTATAGCACCACTAGGGTACTTTGGAATGTCTTCCTACGGGGGCCACCCAGGGCTACACCAGGCTTAGCAGCTAACTGGAGCCACCTTTGCCGGGGCTATTAGCTGGCCCTCAGCAGCCATTGCGACTGGCTGCATGCCAGTGCTTGGGGGCCCTCCGGAGAACTCTCTCCTCTTGTCTCTTTCTCAGTTCTCCCACGAACTGTCCTGCATTTATTTTCTGGCACCTATAGCAATCGACATCTACACGCCGGCAATATCTCATCCTGTAAAATCATCACCGCTATCCGCGAACATCTCGTCCGTCGTTCGACCTGATCCGCGCCCCTGGCATATCGGCCTGATTCACTCGCGAACTCACGCGCCCATATACCGCATTTCATTCTCGACTCCCAAAAAAGCTACTTTCGACGGACCCTGTCCACGTTACGATTCCCATCTCCCCCATTTTCTCACGAAATGCCTTCTCCATTCGGGTCTACCTTTGCCTCTGCTGCTGCTAGCACAAATGGTGACAATTCTGGAAATAGAAGGGACAATACGGGGTCAAGTGACTGGTAGGCCAACCGACTCAAGGACTTGCACATTGTGCACCGCAAATCTGTCTTTAGTTGTTGCACCATCCGTGCCGACGCCATTCTATCTCTTAGAACCCCTCTCGCCTGGCCTGATTTTGTTCAGAGCTGTCGATTCTCATTGACCTTTTCGTCCCTTGTAGGTCTAGAAGCCGTGTGAACGGCGCCCCTCAAACCTTTCGCAGAGTCTCTCAAGCGACTACGCATTCACAAACACAGTCACAGACTCGAGAAAACGCGAACGCAGCACCATCCACTGCCAATAACGGCGGTGTGTACATCCCTCCTCACCTCAACGTCAATAACCCGTCCATGCCTCGACACCTTCCTCTTGGCGACACCCGCTACTCCAAGGACCAACTTCTGAATATATTCCAGACTCTCAAAGATTCCTCGGCCCTTGATCGGAACCTTGAGGACATCTTTCTGGGGACCTGGAATCCTTTGAACAACCAAAACGGGGCGGGCAGTCAAGTGGCCGGTGGCGACGGAAAGGATCAGACTGCTGGGCCAGAGGTCTGTTGGAGTTACAACATAAACCCAGAGCCGTTTGGCTTGACAATGATGACAGAAGAAGAAAAAATAGTGAGCAAGACTCTATTTGCGCGAGATCTCTGGACATGGCTAATCGTGGATGGCAGCTTTTTTCCGGTTCGGTCAATTCGCCAATCAAACCGCAGCAAAATACCACCAAAGAAAGCACCGGTGTAGGAGTGATCGGCGGACGCAAGGCTTCTCTGTCAAACTACAATAGCACGACTGGAACTTCGAGACCAGGAACCCGCCGTAGGGAGACGAGCGATTCCTTCATGAGTAACGGCCCGATGTCGCCTGTAGAAACGAAGACCTTTTTCCGAACAGAATCGAACACCGCAACCCCTCCACCTGCTCTCTTACGACGTCGAACGGACTACAAGGAGGAAGAAGCCACGCCTACTACCAAAGAAGACCCTGAGCCGGACGAAACCCCTGAATCCCAACCCTCACTTCCGGGATTACGCAGAGCAGGTACTGGTCCCTTGAGCGCAGGCTTGAATCCTCCCTCAGCGTCGCCCTGGTCAGCGGGAGCGCAAGCATCGGCTTTTGGATCTATGGGTACGTTTGGCAGCTTTGCGATAGGAGCTGCAAGCACGCCAACCGACTCTGCCGAAAAGCGGCCCGGATTTGGCAGCGCGCGCAGTGCAAGCCGCTTCAAGGATCTCTTGTCCAAGTCGAGTTCAGAGGATGTCTCACAACCAGGGAAAGAAAAGGGTCCGTTTGGAGCATTAGAAAAGCTGCCGGAAGAGGATGCGGATGCCAGCCAGGCGAAATTGCGCGACGAGCTCAGGACTCGTCCAGGACGTAGTGAGACCAACCCATATGAGGACGCTCCAGTCCGGGCGGGAAGCGCAGCTTTGGGCGGCGCTCAGGAGGGGCTGCCCGCCAGCGCAGGCATTGAACAAATGGGCATGTCTGCGTTTGGTCCTCATGCAGCGATCGGTACTCGTGATTTCGGCCACGAGGACTCGTATCAGCAGACGCCCCACGGACGATACAATCTCCACGAACCCATGAGCCCAACGAACACCAACCCATATCAAAGTCCCCACGGTCGTATTGAGGATGACGAGCGTGACACAAATGACTCCGCATCCCAAGCTTCAGGTCTCCCACCCTTTGGTGGCGCTGCTCGTCGAAGCATGTATCCCGGTTCCGACGATCGAAGTCATTCAGCAAGCGGTCTTCGCAGCACCAGTGGCTTTGGTGGTCTGTCGGGCTTCGGTGGCCTCGGCGGCAATCCTACTTGGTCCGGCGCTGGCATTGGATCAACCAAACCTGCAATGGATCGAGGAATTTCGTCCGCATTTGGCGATCCCATATTCAGTCCTCTGTCCGAGTTGCAGTCGCCGGGCGGCCTCGGAGGCGGTTTTGGTGGGTTTGGCTCTGGAGGCCGTGCTGCTCGGCTTGGAGCCATGTTGCCTGCAGCAATGCAAGAGCAAATCCGCGTCGACAGCAGGAATGAGACAGCCTCTTTCGACTCTCGTCCTGACAGTGCTCAGCAACACCCTATTCGCGATCCTTTCGACGGCACTAACCGCAGACCAGAAGAGTTTGGTCATCCATCCGGTCTCTTCGAAGAGTCTCCTTCTATGAGGAGCGTCGAAGAGCCTCTAAATTCCAACCAGCCCGGTCAACTTGGACCTCCGAGCTCAGGACCTCCCACAACTTCGGTCTCGATATCCGGTTCAGGTTCACAAACGGCGGCACCGAGAACGGGCGGATCGGATAACTATCAGTCCGGCCACGGTCTCAGCCAATCGAGCGGCAGCAATTCTTCGAGTCAATTGCCAGCTGCGCAACAGCGACAAATGGTCATGCCGGACCGGATGCGGTGGATCTATCGTGACCCTCAAGGAAATACTCAAGGGCCATGGTCAGGTCTGGAGATGCACGACTGGTTCAAAGCCGGGTTCTTTACCGCAGAGCTACAGGTGAAGAAGCTTGAAGATGCCGAATTTGAGCCACTCGCTCAACTTGTGAGACGCATAGGTAACTCTCGCGAGCCTTTCTTGGTGCCCCAGATCGGCGTCCCTCATGGTCCTCCTACTGCCGGCCCAGGAAATAACTGGGCCAATCCCTCTATGGGAGGATCAGCTGGCGGTACGGCCCAACCACCCTTTGCTAACAGCTTCCCAAGCTTTGGCACGACTCTGACCGCTGAACAACAAAACGCTTTGGAAAGACGGAAACAAGAAGAGCAGTACCTGATGGCGAGACAGAAGGAACACCTGGCGCAACAACAAATGGCTATGAAGATGCAAATGCAGAATGGTATGCATTCACTACACCATCATTCAAGTGCCCACTCTCTACAAAGCCAACCCAGCTTCGGAAGCATTACTTCGCCCACTGGTTATCAACCCTCACCAATCCAACCGTTGATGCAACCCCCCCAGCAAAGTCTACCTTTCGCTCATCACGCTGGGCCTGCTGCGGGACCAACCTTCGGCCGCGAAGAGGATATTCATAACATGATGGACCGTCTAAGCTTCAATCAACGTGCAAATATTCCCTTTACAAGTGCTCCTTTAGGCCCTCCACCGCCAGAAGTTGTCCCTTCCTCCCAACAAGTCAATGCCATGCTTCAAGATAGAGCACGGCTGCAGCAACAGCAGCAGCAAAACGATATGCGTGGTCATCAGGACGCTTTTTTAGGCCCGCAGGGCCGCAACGAGCGGCTGGACGAGTTCCACAGACTGCGTGGACAAATAGACATACCAGCTGGTCGTCTCGGCCCTGAAGAGTCTCGCCCTCAACCCATTGGCGCACCTCGCCAAGTTAGTGAGCAACCTGCCACGTCGGCGCCACCAAAGGTTCCGGCTCCAATTGGACACGCAGCTGTTACTGCTAAGCCGGAGCCGGAGCCCCTTTCTCTGGCTCAACAAGTACAAATTGCTGCAGCCAGTCAACAAGCAGCTGCCGAAGAAAGTGCATGGACAAAGAAGGACACTCCAGTCGAACCCCCACCCGTCTCGATTTCACCTTTGCCCGCTCCAGCAGCCCAGCGAAATAGGCAACACGTTGCTGACGCTCTAGCCGCGGAGTCCAGATCGGCAACCCAAACACCCATCGAGACTCCTGTCGTCTCCGTTGCACCATGGGCCGAGCGGACCGCTGAACATGCCAAGGGTCCATCTTTGAAGGAAATCCAAGAAGCTGAGGCTAAGCGGGCCGCAGAACAAGAAGAAATTGCAGCTGCCGCACGACGTGCACAGGCAGAGCAGGAGAGGTTGGCTCAAGTTCAGGTTCCAGCTCCTGCCCCAGGTCTTCCATCAACTTCAACGTGGGGTAGCTCTACATCACCTGCGACACCTGGCTCTCAAGCCGCATCTGTCTGGGCGAAGCAAACCCCCGCAAAAGTAGGTGTCGGAGTGAATGCAGTTCCTAAGAAGACGCTAGCCCAGATCCAGAAAGAAGAAGAGTCTCGTAAACAGCGCGCCGCCGCCGCCGCCGCCGCCACCGCAGCTGCTGCGAGTGCACAAAATGCTAGTAATTCGGCCACGGCTTCAGTTGGCAAAAGATATGCTGAACTGGCTGGCAAAGCTGCCCCAGCTAATCCTATTCCATCGGGCGGCGTCTGGACGACTGTAGGCTCAGGCGGTAAGGCCAAGGCCCCGCCTGCTGTTGTTGCAACACCCCAGCCGGTATCCCGAGCAGTGTCTGCCGGAAGCGCACCCAAGGCACGGCCAACTCTGCAAACCCCTCGAAGCACCACGCTCACCAACCAGAGCAAAGCCAACGAAGAATTTACCAAGTGGATCAAAGGGTCGCTCGGGAAGGGGCTAAACAGCGGTATCAATCGTAAGTATTCACCTCGTTTTCCAAATGATCTGGGCCCCACTAACATAGGTTGTCAGTCGATAATTTCGTGCAAGATCTGCTGCAGCTCCCACCTGATGTCGAAATCATATCAGATAGTGTCTATGCAAGTTCACAGACCCTGGATGGACGTCGCTTCGCCGAGGAGTTTGTACGCCGCCGGAAGCTGGCCGACAAGGGCATCGTTGAGCCTGCCACGGGAGTTCAACCAATGATGGGGATCGGCGGAGGCGCGGATACTAAGAGCGCGGGTGCTGCGGGAGGCGGTTGGAGCGAGGTCGCTAAGAAGGGCCCGGCGAACGCCAATGCTGCGAAGGACGAGAGCAATGCACAGTTCAAGGTTGTTGCGACGAAGAAGAAGGGGAAGAGATGAAATGAGAAATGAGACTTAGAGGTGTTGTGCAACGAGCAGATCTAGTGAGAGATGAAGAAGGCAGTGGCTGACGGTCCATGTGTCCAGAAGAAAGAAATGCGAGTTTTGGATGTGAACAATGTGCTGACACGACGACAAAATGGGGTTATGGCTATTGGAATTGATGCCACGAGCGGCTAGAGTCTCACTCCTTGTCCGTCGTCCCTTCAATGAACAGCAATGATCACTTTGCCCACGCAATCACCTGTCTGAAGATATCCAAATGCCTCTCGAGCGTGGTGGAAGTCGAATTTCCGAGCAACGATATCGTCAAAGTGGAGATTCTGGGCCTCTACATACGCAGAAAGTTGCTCAAGCTCGCTCCTTCAAGCAATATTGATGCCTCTGTTCGTATTTGCTAGTTAGCGCTTTGAGGGCAACAGTAGCCAGTCGTGCTGGCGATGACCTACCTCATAGTCACACTGTGGTCAATCAATAAGGGGAGAAACTCGCTGCGATTGTCCACCTTGGTGCCTCCAAGGCATCCGATACAGCTGACGTGACCTCTGTGCTTGGTGGCTTTGAGACTCTGCAGCAGACTCTGCCCACCGCCGTTCTCGATGATGATATCCACGCCAGCATTGTGGGTGAGCTGAGAACCTCTTCCTCCCACCGGGGGGCAAGTTTTGTAGTTGATCGTCTTGACGGAGCCAAGGCCGTAGAGTCTCTCGACCTGCTCTAATTTCGCGTCCGAGGAGGATGTGAGGATCAAGTCGGCGCCTGAGCTCGCAGCGAGTTTCAAGGCCATCATGCTGACGCCGCCGGCTCCTGGAAGGAGGTCAACACGACGCTAGCATTCCTGCTTCCAGTCCCACGATAAAAGGAACAAGGCAAATGCACTGCATCAGGGGATAAATCATACTTCTTCCCATGTCAACCGGGGCGGGATCTAGACGATCCCGGCCTCTGGGAATATGCAGTGGGTCGCCAACACGCCGTCGACGTCTCCACCAAGCCCTTTTTAAAGGAACAGATCTGCGATTAGTATTGTGGCTTGTTTCTATGACGGGGAGGGACATCGGGTGCGGTTTATTTTACATTCTCTCCCGGATTCCTCACCGAGGCTGTTCTTCTGGTCGAATATAGGCTTGACGCGGTCACCTAGCTACCGCAGTTCAGGGTCCGTTAGTTGCTGATTTATCAAACAGTGCAAGAACGAGGACGGAGGAATGGGAACGGGAATTGACGGACTTTGATACGAGTCACACTTGGTCCCACAGCGAGCACTTCTCCCGCGGCGTCTGAGACTGGAATACCGTCCTTCTTCACGGCCCAGGGATTTCCTCCACGCAAGATATTCACGTCCCGGTAGTCGAGGGACACGGCGTGTATCTTGATCAGAACGTCGCCTTCGCGCAACGGTGGGAGGGTTTCTTCCACCAGTTGGAGGATTTGAGAGTATTTTTCGCCCACGCGGCGGTAGACCTGGTAAACGGAAGCCATTGTTGCGGTATGGGACTGTCTATATATGCGTGCACACACCTGCCTCCGATCCTAGGAGAGAGCCGTTGTCGGGGCTCTTTGACTGCTTCTGAAGGTACTTCTTCTTTCTAGAGGAGTATTAATAATGCATTCAATTGTTGTCCGTGGTTGAACTCTTAGGACCCACTCGGTCACTTCCGACTTGACCCTTTTCAAACTCATTGCCCTTTTCAGTAATTCAGCCTCGCCCTCACCCCCGGCTCACATATGTTACATAGTCGTCGTTACGTTCTGTCCCCTTCAAACCTTGGTAGGGTTCGGATTGTATAAACGGCGTCCTTTTTTGTCTGCTTTCGAAGAAGAAAGTGAGTCTACCACAATATGCACCGATCCCTAAAAACGTGCCTCGGAGGATTCTCCTAATGACACCAAGTCTCTAGCATTTGGAGAGATGCTCTACCCCTTAGTAATGCATGCTTCCCTAACGGTTTGAAAACGTCTCAAGAACGCTCCGGGGCTTAGTGTACTTGCCAATCGGCACATACTCGATCTGATCAAATCCCATCGAGCCCGGCCCGCCTAGTTCCAGCCCCCGAGGAGTATCTGTCCATCGAGGAGACGCCGCGATTGCTATGATTGTCACCTTCAACCCGTACTTGTACTCCGGTGTGCCTAAGCCCGCTCCAGTCTCCATATCGAGCACGGCGATGAGATCCGGCACCGAAGCCAAGATGGATGTCTTGCTGTCGCTGGCCGTGGTGGCCTCAACGAAGGCGTTCTCGTTCTTGAACGGGATCCTGATCGTCGCCTTGACCCCGCTGCTGCTCAGGACACCGTCAATCTCCACGACGCCGTAGGAATGTCCCGTCTTGAGAACGCGCTCGACGCTGGTGATTTTGCCCTCGGCCAGGATCTTTGCACTCGCGGACCCGCCAACGGCATCGATGATGCGCTTTGCGCGGTCGCTAACGTTTTTCTCCAACGCAACCGCCCTTCCTATCCACCACGCCAAAGACACGGTATGGAGGATGGCTTGCTCTTGAACTACTTTGGCGGACTTGGGTGGCCCAGCTTTCCCGGCCCGGCATCCCATCTCCACTACCGCCGCCCGTAATGCACTATCCACCAGCCTGTCCGTCCGACTGGCTGTCATGGTCATGAAGGATCCATCCCCGCTCGCAATGGTCGCGGGTACGAGCGCCTCCCCCTTGGAGGTGCCGTAGACGTTGACGGTGGTTTGCCAGAAGGTCGGATATGCCCTGCCCATCAAATCGGCGTCGATGCAGGGCACTTGGTGCGCGGCTGCGACTTCGAGATTGACGAGGCCGTTTCCGCCACCGATCTCGACAGCCATAAATCCGTCCACGGGTGCCAGCCCCAGGAAACGCGTCAGTTCGTCGTGGGCCTTGTTGCACTCGTCGGCCTCCATCCGCTCCATGCTGACTTCTGGACTCCCCATGCACCCAGTCCATCCGATCGTGGCATTTTCAAGCAGATCGTTGGGGGACACAACTTTTATGGTCCCAGGAGATTTTGTCAGAACCGATTTGATCTTGAGGAACTGCTGGTACGGATCCCCGCCGCCGCCACAACCTAGAATCTTGCAGCCGCTCGAGATCCACTCGAGATCCGTCATTGATATTATCCATTCCCCGTTCTCGATCTTGGGTTTGTAGGTTTCGAGGTCGACAACCTCGGTCTCCTCTTCTGCATCGCGTGGACCACCCACTGTCTGGCCAGAATGCTGCTGAGGCAGTTCTGGCAGGGTGACTCGAAGAGATGCTCCTTGTTTGGTGTGCTTGACGGCATCCAACACACCGACTGCTCTGACGAATATTCGCGCCTTTGCATCAACATACTGGATGGGAAGAATAGTCACTTCGGCAATCTCAACCGTCTCCCGCCTGGCTCCGTTTGACACAGCGGCATCGACGGCCAATCTCGAGACCATTTCTTGGGCCTCCTTCAGCGTCTGGTGGGATGTATCCACAACAGTGTCCACGATGCCAGATACCCTCGAAATTGCCGCTCCGACCGCGTTGGCAACTTCGCCGCCCTTCACTTTTCTTACGGCACGAACCCCGGAGAGCGGCTCGCCTGTGTCGATCAGGATGGCGCCTCCTCCGACGATCAAGACATCCACATCCCCTTTCTGGACCTTCGTTCGGTCGACCAACTCTTCGACGATCCGTCGCATCTCTTTCTTGGCTCTCGCCACAATTTGCGGTGTGATATCTCTCAGTCGGGCGGGATTCCCTAAGCCTTCGAGAGGATTATTTCCAGAGGGAGAGTATAACTCGGACACGGCCACGATGTCAGTAGCTGTCAAGACGTCCCCTCCGAAAAGACGAGCCTTCTGTGGCAGCTCCAACGCAACACTGTCTGGTCCGACCGTTAGATTATCTCCTGAAGTTCTGACGATGCTTCCGCCCCCGAGACCGACACTCTCCACGGCAGGCAGTGCAAAGTTCGTCCGCACGCCTCCCACAAGGCTCATCAGTGAGCTCATTCTAGGGAGTCCATTGGGGAGCAATAAGCCACTATCCGAGGTTGTGCCTCCAATATCAATTACTACGAGGGGGTCCTGACGCACCCCCTGGGATTCACCCGCTTCCGTACTTGCTGTGGTCCAGAGGAACTCGCCGCCTCGAATGGAATTGGTTGGACCGGAGTTGAATGTTCGAATGGGGAGGTCAATGGCATCTGGCGCATTCAGGACGCTTCCATCGTTCTGCGTCAGGTACAATGCACATGGCGACCCTTGGAAGGTTTCCAGCATAGCCTTCTGGAACCCTAGGATGGTCTTCTCAGCCAGCGGTCTCAATGCGGCATTCAGAATGGCTGCATTCTCTCTCGCGAGGAAACCGAGGGACGATATTTGGTGGGACAGGGTCACGCGAGGCCGGATCGTGAGGCCTAAAGCGGCAGACAATTCATGCATCTTTTCTAGAAGAATTTGTCCGGCTTTGATCTCATGTGCCGAGTTTGGTGGTGAATAGATGCCTGAGACCACAACGTTGAAGATGCCATCCTTGACCAGCTTCTCTGCAACAGTCGTCAGCTCGGCCTCATCGACTGGGGAGATTTCCGCGCCCGAGATCTGATGACCGCCATGGCAGAAGAAAGGCTGCGTTGCGATCAAACGGCGGAGGTCCTTGGGGAAGTCGACAAAGGGCGGCACGCCCAGTCCGAAGCCATGCTCGCTTCCTCCGCAGAGCCGAACCACGCCGACGCGTTGCAGGGACGAAGAGCGCTGCACCACGGCGTTCACAAAATGCGTCGTCCCGATAATGACGCAGCTGATGGCGTCCAGAGGCACATTGCTCGCCTGGATGACGGCGTGGACTGCTTGAGTGATGCCCGCCGTTACATCCGACGTCGTTGGCGCTTTATGCGACGCAATGATCTGAGTTGGCGAGAGAGAGATGAGCACAGCATCGGTGTTGGTTCCTGGGACACACTCGTTGGTGAACAGGCTCCATCAAGAGGCCAAGATAGCGGTTCGTTCCTTACCTCCCACGTCCACGCCTATGCGGTACCTGTGGTGCTGCTGCGAGTCGATGCCTATGCTCCCCATGATTCGATTTCCTCAGCCCGTTGATTGTGCATGGATGTGTCTCCCTCCCGCTCAAATATGAGGCCTATCTTTTCTTCCCCTGCTGGTTCCTGTCTTCTGATTCTTGTTCTCTTGGTGCTGTTCGAGAGTCTTACTTCATTATTTCGTCTTCGGCCGATCTGGACAGGAAGCGAGAAGGAATTGGCCGATGGTGGATTTCCACGGCTCAACCAGCAAAAGGCCAATAAAGTCCAGCTCGCGGAGTTGAGCGGTTGACCAGCATTCGATAACAGCTTTTGCGCCCCCTTTATCACAATGTCTGACAAAGATGGGGACCGAGAATATGTCTCGACTTTTGCATCAAGGACATTCGTCTACGACTATGTTGGCGATAGCACGCCGATATAGGCTTTCGTGGCAACCTACTATCAAAACCGGGGGCCATTGCAGGCAGTTAGTTATACGAGAAACCCGGATTCAGGGTCCCATGGAAGAAGTGGCACCGCAGAAATCCCTCCCTGGACGGCTTGTCCCACACGCGGCTCCGCGGCAAGAGATGGAGAAGCAACAAGGTTGAGCGAAGGAGGATTCTATGGTCGGCTAACTACGAAGTGTTCCCACCAACACTCCAAAGCATCTTCGACTAAGCCTTCTATGGCCATTGAATGCACGATCGACGTGAATTGGTTCCACGAGGCCAATTCCTCCTGTCGCTCTATCCATAGACTCTCTAAACGGTGCATAAGAGTCTCATAAGGGATCCTGTCGCCACACTGCCCATTTTGCCGAAGCCATGGCGCGATCGGTCAACGGGCAATATTTCGCAGCTTTTGCCGTCTTTCGATGTCAGACGGAAACCGCCAACTCTATGCAATGCTATGCAATGCAGGGACCATGCGACCTCTGGCCCTTTGGTATCAGCTGGGGCTGCTGAGGAACTGGCATCAACATTGCTGCGTGGCGACAGATCGGCGAAGAACGTTCGATAAGTACAGGGGAGCACGCGGTTCTAGGCTCATGCTCGTATGGACGTCTCCGCCCCTTTTACCCCCAACCCAAGGACTAGTATTAGTATCAAAGACATCTAAATACTGCGGTGCGTGGGCCCAAAGATACGCTGAGCCGTTAAGCCAGATATCGCTGTCCCATTGGCGTCTAGTTCAAAATATCACGATCACGAGAGGGAGTGGCTTCGACAACAGGGTGGTTAAAACTGAGATAAGGGAGACCGAATGCCATTTTATTCTGAGTAAGCAACGACAAAAGACAAACTCGGCCTTGGGGAAGAGAGAGAAATCATGGCAATCCAACCAGAAGAACTCGCCATCCCCATCATCGACCTCGAGCCTGTTCGCTCGGGGACTCCTGAAGAGGCACGCCAGACGGGGAAACTGGTCTATGAAGCGTTCCGAGACGTGGGCTTTGCGTATATCAAGAACCATGGACTCCCTCAGGAACTTCTCGA